ACGAGAGAAAACATGATGCTTCGAATGACAGAAGCTGTTTGATCTTTAGATGCAAACGAAATTCGTCGAGCTATCGACTCCTTCCAAAAAAGAATTGATACTTGTCTTTTACATAATGGAACTCATATTGAACATTTAGCCTAGACAAGATTACTAATTGAATAAAAATTGTATATATGTTTTTGTTACTAAATTCCGACTATAACGAAAAGTTAAATAATAAAATTATGTTTGATTGAAAAGTGCATTTTATTGTCCCGATTCCAATCTTAGTCAGTCCACTTTTAAAAAGTTTTGAGTGTGATTGGAGTACACAAAGAATTGAAAGTAATATACATATTTAAGTAGAAGTACTTATTTCAGTACTTGGAGTATGTTAAAAAGTCAAATCATACGAAGGCGACTATTGCACTGCGGCTAGGAGATCTTAAGAGATCTGGTTCTTAAGAGGTCTGATAGCTGATATACTTTCAATGTCATTTCAAGGTCGGTGGACACATTTTCGGAAAAAATGTTTCAAACATAAGTTTCGTATTTTTCACCATAGAATCTGAATCTGCAAAAAAATAGTATTCCATTTAAAAAACTAAACTTTCGGTCTAAACAACCCACTTCTGGTGGTTCAACTTTCAATACTGGAAGTTGAATATAGCATCATTTGATAGAGCGTGCTCGACTTAGTAAAAAAAGGTTTTGAATTTTTAATAAAATGTTGATCCCTTTATTTTAAATAGGTGGTACGGGTCTGAAACATCCTGTACACACACACACACACACACATACACACGCACGCACGCACACAGGCTGTCCCATTTTAATCGATCACCTCAAATATCTCTTGAACAGTGCACTTTAGGGAAAAATGTTTCAGATAAAAGTTTTGAGATTTCGAGGGGGACATAAGATGATATCATTGGTTTGACCTCGAGTGGCGTCGTCAAGGTCAGGACAAGATCACTTTGAATTTTTTAAATGGAACCCCCCATTTCTCATTACATATTCTTGTAGCATACCTCGAGAGCTTTCCAAAACACTATAATAAAATATTTTTTCATTAAGTATCTTTCGAGTTAAAAGGCTTCAAAATTATAATATTGCTGCGATTAGCATTGGTACTCAAGGTGTTCAACCGACGGCTAAAACCTTTTGAATGTTGTTCAGGGCCACGACCTTGACAACATTTGTCAAGGCGATTGGAGGTTGTTCCTAATATTTTCATTTCTTCAAATTTGACAGTGAAAACGAAAATAATTTAAAATCATGAGGTAACATGTGGAGTCCGATTGACTCTAAAGGATCATATGAAGGTTATAACGCTTTGTCAGGGCCACAAAGAAGCACACGTGTGAAATCCCATTAATAAATTTGTTTAATAATCGTAGCTCGTGTCATTCACTTGCTAGCGTCATTTGTCTGCATTATTGCTAATCCAATCGCAGGGCGGAGACTCGTGGCGAATTCAATACTTTTAGTATTTTTACAAGTTTTTCTATTGTCCTGTAATTATGGTTGATTACCTGCCTAACGAAATCGTGGATATGATCAGAATTTTAGGTGAGGCAAGGAATAATTATACGACAGTTGAAAGGATTTATGCCGAAATATTTCCGGATAGACGTCATCCTAATAGGACGCTAATTAAGAGACTATGTGAAAGAGTACAACAGGGCATTCTCAAACGAATACGTCGAAAATCATTTTCACTGTAAAATTTGAAGAAATGAAAGTATTAGGAACAGCCTCCAATCGCCTTGACAAATGTTGTCAAGGTCATGGCTCTGAACAACATTCAAAAGGTTTTAGTCGTCGGTCGAACACCTTGAGTACCAATGCTAATGGCAGCAATATTATAATTTTGAAGCCTTTTAACTCGAAAGATACTTAATGAAAAAATATTTTATTATAGTGTTTTGGAAAGCTCTCGAGGTATGCTATAAAAATATATAATGAGAAATGGGGGGTTCTATTTAAAAAATTCAAAGTGACCTTGTCCTGACCTTGACGACGCCACTCGAGGTCAAACCAATGATATCATCTTATATCTCCCTCGAAATCCCAAAACTTTTATCTGAAACATTTTTCCCTAAAATGCACCGTTCAAGAGATATTTGAAATGATCGATTAAAATGGGACACCCTGTATATATAGAGTGTAAAAAAATTAGACCGACAAACTTTGAGGGGAAATAGAGGACATAAAAACAATATTATATATTTATTAACATATTTTGTTAATAATGTTTTTCTCTACGACGCTTCGTTTTAATACTACAGGGTACAAAATAGGAATTTTATGATTTTAATAAAAAACAAACAGTGGAAAAATTAAATTTATTTCAATTACACATATATATTTTAAAAAACAATGAACAAAAAAACGGAACAAAAATACGCAACTGATCCGCTCAATTTATAATAAATGTTCAACAATTCCTCCATTTGTTTCAACACAAAGATGACATCGTCGAAATTCGGGTTAATGATTCTGTTTCTGTTTCAATGCCTCATCGATAAGAGTTGTGTAAGTAAATACAAAATATCCTTGTGTTTCGACGATGTCATCTTTGTTGAAGCAAATGAAGGAATTTTTTAACATTTATTATAAATTGAGCTAATCAATTGCGCATTTTTGTTCCGTTCTTTTGTTCATTGTTTTTTGAAGATTAAAATATATATGTGTAATTGAAATAAATTTAGTTTTTCCACTTATATGTTTGTTTTTTATTAAAATCATATAATCCCTATTTTGTACGCTGTAGTATTAAAACGAAGCGTCGTAGAGAAAAACATTATGAACGAAATTTGTTTGTTTTTATGTCTTTTATTTCCCCTCAAAGTTTGTCAGTCTAATTTTTTTATACTCTATATATATATATATATATATATATATATATATATATATATGTATGTATGTATGTATGTATGTATATGTATATACAGAGTGTCTGAAACCTTTCTTGACACAATTTGTAGTAAAATAGAACGGATTAAACGGAACAGTTGAGATTGTTAATAAAATTACTTGAAGTCCGCATATGATGTAATAATTTTAAAAGTTAGTATTTCTGAAAATTTAGAATATTGACACACATACACGCACACACACGCGCGCGCACACACACACGCACACGCGCTCACACACACACACACAATTATTAATAACATTATACGGGGAGCATACCAAGTGATTTTTATGTAAATTTAAATTTTTCATTAACCTTAATTTTGTTTTAGATTTTAAATAAGGAAGTTAGGAAGAGTTGGGGAAAGAGAAAGAGGAGGAATAAGTGGAGGAGAATTGAGGAAAGACAGTAGGAGGGGGAGAAAGGGAGGGTAAGAGGTGGAGAGAGAAGATGAGAGGAAGAGTGGAGTTGATAGATGAATTAGAAAAAGTGAGCCCAATTCAAACTTTATGTTTCGTTAACTTTTTAAGGTGCATAATTCATCAACATTCTAGTAACCTTTTTTAACTCTTAGCTGACACATTGGGGTCTTTGGAATCCCAGCTTAATTCAGCTTAATTCACTTCCAATTTACTTCCTCCTATAGTACGAAAATGGTGCTTGTGCCATCATCTATTGTTTGTCCAAGGAATCCTCTTTCTCCTAAATTATCTAGTGTAATTCTGAAAGTATCAGTCTAGCTGTGGTATTCAAGTAAAACGGAGTAATGCCATCAGAGACCCCAGTGTGCCAATTATAATTATTCGAAGAATTTTTTTCTGAATTTTTTTTGTTGGTGTTTGTCATCAAGGCATAGAAAAAGGTAAGTACATAATATTGTAGGGCATTTAATTTTTTTTTTCAAGACTATCATATTGTTCCTGTTTTATTAGATAGCGTATCCGTTACGGTTGCGGCCCGTACGCTTGCAGCTCGAGGAAGATCGTGAGGATAATTTTTGTATATTAATCAAGTAAAATTCACTCATATCTAATGAACAAGTATATTTTGAAATAATAAATAGTGCTTTTTTGACTGAAATTCGTCTTTTCAACTCCCCAAATAAATACCTTTTTTGAAACGGCCACTATCAAAATATTTTTTTCCTTAAAGTGTTATATCTCAATAGTGTCAAGTTAAATGTTTAGCTCTTAATATGAAAAATGGAAGAGTTATGAATTTTTTCGTTTTTTTACGTTCTCGAATTTTTTTTTCATACTCAATATTACATTTTATCAAAATAACCTATGATATTTTTTAAGTCGATATTTGAAAACAATTTTGGAATTTTTTCAAGTGAAAAAAATTAATAGCTTTCACGCACAAGCATTTAGTGATTGAGGTCTTAAACGGCCCAGTGTGTCAGCTATGTGACTGTGGTGAAGTGTGCCAGCTAAGGGTTAAATGAAATGGTTTTTTAGGCATATTAGATTTGGTTAGATTAGGTTAAATGAAATATTATTAAGAACACTCTAAATAGCACATTTATAAAGTTTCAACTATCCAATTCTAAGTGGTCCTTTTGGTACCAGTAATACTTAAAGGGTTAAAGATGGACAGAAAGAGAGGAAAACATAAACCATATTATATATAGTATATAATTTTGTTTTTTGTGAATAACAGTATTGTTGAAAACATTTACAAGAAATAAAGCACAAATAATATGCACACGAAATAGCAAGAGAAAGTATCTGAAGTTAGAAAAATAAAGATTGCCGACTATCTCTTCACTAGGCAACATAAGATAATTTCTCTTCTTAAAAGAAGAAACTGAATATCATTTTGTTAAAGTATCACAGCTATTTTGAAACTATTATTGTTCTCAACTATATCAACAATAATGATGAATACTTATTTAGAAAGAATATGTAAAGTCGAATATCTTTATTTATTCTATTATATATTGTTTTTGTTTAAAACTTGCTTGCGGATGCAATTTTTTCGCAGGAAAAAAATACTTTTTTTTGTAATATGCAGGACCGCATAGTCCACTTTGTTAGTGCAAATCCTGAAACACCTTGTAGTACAATATGTCTTAAAAAGTCCAATTTTATTGTAGCTTCGACGCAAGTAGTTCTGACGGTGCAGCAGAAACCAGTAACGAGCGGTGCGGCAGCAGTAGTAGCAACAGTTACAGCTACAACTACAACTTCCGGTCTACAGGTTGGAGTTGGAGCAGGAACCGCGGCGGCCACTATTACTACCACTACTACCAGCACTACTGCTACTGCTACAATCATTCAACATCAACGTCCAGTTAGCTTATCAGCAACTGGAAACATGTCACCTTCGCAACCGGCAACTTCCTTGCATAGAGCATCCACTGCACCTGCTGGTGGAGCATCATGTAACACTCGAATTACAGGCCCGCAACCAGTTGATGTAAATAGGAATATGTATATTAAATATCCTAAGATAGAATTCTTTTTACTATTTTTGTTTTTTTATTATGTTTGCTAATTAAAAAAATTATTCAATGAAAATGTATAGACATCTCTATAGAAAGTAATGGGCTATCTTATGTTATATGAAAACTAGCTTTTTTGAGTTAATTGGCCAGTTTTTCCAAATAGTTAAGTTTTTTACGGTTTTTATTGAATACGAGATTTCGAGAGAGTCATATACATAATAACATTATTATCCTTTAATTAATATTTCAAAAGAAACTATGTTTTGTGTGTTAGAAATTTAATTTAAAATATTTTTCACATAAAAACAAACAATGAATGAAATTGAAAAATACAATGAATGATCTTTTGATATTTTTGCCCTCGAAATGGCTAAAGTAGCTGTAGCTATAATTACAAGAACATACGATAGTCTGAGTTAATTTATTATTTATTATATTGCCACTTAAATTGTTTTTTTTAGCATGAAAAAAAGCGGCAGCTGGAAACGCAAAGAGTTCATACATTCCAGCTTATGTTGGAGAAAGAACAAAGTTATGTGGATAAATTACGAAGCGAATTAGCTAAGACTGGCACTGGCAGTGGTAATAACAGTGTCAATGTCACAGCTTTGCAGAACGAATTGGCGGGTGCCGAAAGAAGAGTACGCACCTTACAGGAACAGCTTGCAGCGATTACAACTAACGAACAGGTTGGAACTTTTATTTTACGCTTCAACGCGCGCGTCTTTTTGTGATTTAGATTTTTTTAACATTAGGCTAGTTAATTAAATATTTTTTTTATATTAAGAATTATTTAGTACGTTTAAATATAAATATATAAAGGAACTGTGTAACTTGATCTAGAATATCTTTTGTTTCTTTCATCTTAAGTATTTAACAAAATGTAATCCAACGTAGATTTTCAGCGTTTGTACTAATTTAATATAAAGCAACCGACATTTTTTATAGGTTAAGTTTTTCAAAAGTTTTTCAATTTTTATACTTTTAAGTTTTTATACTTTACCAAAATTATTTTTAGTTTTTCCAGTAATGTTATATATAGTGGATTATCTTCTAAAAAAAGCGCCGAGTTTTTGCGCTCCATATAAAAAACTAATGTAAAATAATCCGTAAAAAATTATATTAAATAATTCGTATAACAATCTGTAGTTTTCTATTACATAATTAATGGTATCAGGAAATTTGTGTCAAGTAATAAAAAAATAAATAAATAAAATTAATCAGATTCACAAAAAAAAAACTTGGCGTGGCCAGATAACACTAAGATGCATCTCAGAGAATTTTAAAACATATTTTATTTCACAGTAAGGTTATAGAATATTTGTAGGTAACATTAAAATTGTTATTGCAACCCGGGCGCGCCAAGTTTTTTTGTGTATCTGAATAATTTTATTTTATTTATTTTTTTTATTACTAAGGTAAACGTCCTAGTGATTGAACGTGTACCGATAATTGAATTACTAATAATATACTTGTGTTTGTTAAGATGCTTATCAATAAATGAAACAAAATCACAAAGTAACTAAATATTTCTTTTCATTTATTATATTGTTTTGTATATTGAAAAGCATTTCAACAAAGAAAAATACAAAACAAATATGTCAACTACCCTTATAGAAATATCATACTAAGAATCATTGATAATTACTTATTTTCAGTATTAAAAATACTGGATAATAAGTAATTATCAATGATTCTTAGTATGATATTTCTATAAGGGCATTGGGACATGTATGTTCGACCACTGGGACGTTTACCTTAGGCGAAAATTTCCTGATACCATTAATTTTGCAGTAGAAAACTACAGATTGTTGTATGAATTATTTAATATAATTTTTGCACAGATTATTTTGCATTAGTTTTTTATACGGAGCGCAAAAACTCGACGCTTTTTTTTACTTTTTTTTGGAAGGTAAGTTTTTTGGAATATCATCCATTTTTGTACAAGGGCTACATTGAATATGACAATAAATGTAAAGTAATCAAAGAAAAACACATACATAATCACATCCATACAACAATAGCCTTTCATTCACGACTTACGTATTACATTTTTCTCTGTCTTACTTTATGTCAACATACAACTCTCAAATTTTTGTCTTCTCATCAATAATGCAATTTCGAGACCACGTTCACAAGCATTTTTTCCCCTTTACTTACGCATATAGAGCGTTCTGTCTATCCATGTGACGATCGTCATCACATGAATACAAAACGATTTGTGTGCGTAAATGGAGGGAGAAAAACTTTTGCGTGCGCGGCTCGAATCACTGCTTCTCATTGACATTATACAGGGTGTATCAGACCACCCATGCCACTTCTTTTATTTGGCAACCGAGTGTCACACGGAGATGAATAAAAAATTTTTATAGGAAATTTTATGCATAGAATCAATTGATGCTACTTTTCAGAAAAAATTGGAAGTATTTTAAACCGAAGATAACTTTAAAATTTAAAATGGAAACATATATTGAATGTGATATCACTCAATAGGTCTCTTCAGGAGAAGATACTTCTTTTATTTACCCTCATAAATGGAAAACAATCGAACATTTGATCTGAAAAACAAGGGCTAATAAAAGGATTGAAACACGTGTTAACGTATTTGAAATTTTTATTTTCTTAATTTTTCTCGATTAATAGTTGAAATAAAGAAAAATGTTTCTAATAAAAGATATTTATTTTGATCTACTGGCAAGGGAAGTCTACACTCTCTGGGACACCGATTTCGCTGTAATTGCGTAAGTATGTAGTATTAGTAGAATAGTATTAAACGCTAATCGGAGACGATGCACAATTCAAGCAATGTCGAGAAAAAACGCTTTAAAGTTTCGCGCGCTCCTTAAGTACAGTAATAGTAGCTCGGTGACCAAGCGGCGGCGGTGGCAGAGCAGAATAGGCAAAGGGCTTGCAGATCGCTGGTTCGAGTCCAGCGGTCTTATTTATCCAGTGGTTTTATTTTTTTTGCATACGTTTAGTTTATTACTGTAATATAAAAATATATAAAATATGTAATAATGCGCACGAAAATCAGTGACATTGTTGGACATTTTGCTTGCAGTGTGATGCAAAGGAGTCACTGTAAATATAAAAGTATATATATGTGCATGTATATAGACGGCGATTTCTAGAATCGCAAACCGATCCTAGTGCGCAGGGTTGGTCCCTCCACGAAAGTTGTCATACAATCAAAGAAAGACTCTTTGTTCGCTTTGGCTATTCACATGCAAAGGGAACTAGGATCGTACCCGCGCAGGTATAAAGCAAGTATTAAATTGTGTACGAAACGGAGTGATACTTATGCTCTACGAAACTTCTAACGGCAATACGAATACATTCAAAGACATTTATTACAAATTATTTTATAATAATAATGCATAAATTGCATATATAAAATAGTTGCGTTGACGGATTTTTATTATATTTTGTATTTTTATACTTGTAAAATAAATAAACATGTGCATTACGTGTGAGTGATGTCACATTTGATACATGCTCTTATTTAAAATTTTGAAGTTATCTTCGGTTTAGATAATTTTCAATTTTTTTCGGAAAACCGTAGTACCACCAACTGATTCTATGGGTAAGGTTTCCTATAAAAATTTTTTGTTTATCTCCGTATGACTCTCCGTATGACATTCGGTTGCCGAACAAAAGAGGTGGCACGGGTGGTGTAATATACCCTTTATATCGATCTATCGACCGATGAGCTCATCTTTCTTATGGCGCCGTCCCACAGAATAAGATACAGATGCACAATCCCTCTTGTGGCGCCATCCCACGGAACAAGGTTCAGATGCACAATTTTATGACGATTTGTGGTCATATAATAATTTGGCTATTTTGGATTTTGAATTAGAAATCTCGATTTTAGAGGACACGGAGACTAAAAGACAGCTTTATTAAGTAATATAACCTCGAAGAATCGATTGAGACTACTCAGAAATTCATCGGTTTTGTAATTATAGCGGAATATATAATCTTGCTTCCGCTGAACTAGTTGACTCGTGTAAGATAACGGCCATTCAGGTCAGTGATGTAAACACTTGCAGGCCCCTCTTTTGCGTTTAAAACTCGACACTCAAAACACGGCCGTGTTTCCTTATCACTTTAACATTTTGAACTTAGTCTGCGTGAGTCCAACCCACAAACATCTGGCTCAATAAAGTCACGCATACGTGACACAAATCGTCAAAGTACATAACAATTTGTTTTCCATTTTACAGAAAAAAATTATTTAAATAATAATTGTTTTATTCGAAGAGTGAAATAAAATTAGGATGTTATTTTAAATCTTGAATCACTCCAGTTAGATCGCATCAAGATTACATTACATTTTTTAAATTTATTATATATTTATTTTGGCGAGTTGAAATAGGACACTTTTTCGAAATTTAAAGATATATATATATATATATATATATATATATATATATATATATATATATATATATATATATATATATATCA